TAATTCATTTGCAGAATATTACAAATTAGTTGTCAGATATATATTTACTGATAAAAAAAGGAGATAACTAAATCTCACATACTAACTGCAAATGCTCATATTATAATTAAAATCCCTGAAAGACAAACTACCTATACTAATGAGTCTAAGGCATGCTAGAAGCGTGGTAGACTAATCGGTTCCAAGGTACCTATAACTAATGAGTCTAAGGCATGCTTATGAAGCGTGGTAGATTCTCAATTCGGATATCCCACGGAAAAACTGCACCATAATAAAGGGGAAAGGAAGCTTTAAATTTGGCAAAGAATGGTCAAAGAGCTCTAGAAGAGCAATTGTGGGAAGAAGTTCGCTTTGACTTTATGATTTAAATAATATTCCCAGAAGAATTACTTAGATGATATCCTAATACAATAAAATTGTTTTGAGATCTTACTATAAATTATGTTCATTTGTCAGGACATAGTACTATTTCACTTTGAACCAATATAAATATAAACTTCGACGGTAATATAATAAAAGACACTTGAAATTGTAGAAAAAAGATGAGAATCTGGCCTTGAGCATATAGTCCTTAGTTAGAGAATATAAACACACTAAAATTGATTGGCCAAAATAGACCGATCGTATATGGCATTTGATTTTACCCTTGAAAAGTAAATTTTGAAATTTTAAAATATGGTGCACTCACCAAGAGATGTCAAGCCAATTTCTAAAAACATATATGTAATTGTATAACCAATCCATACAAAAATGAAATGGGGTCATGAGAAATATAAACGCGCAAACTTTTTTGGCAGGGACAATGGCCAAAAGAATTGTCAATTTGATTAAGAGGAGGATACACCTCCATCCGCGCTATAAATGAAAATTCCTAAAAGGATTCTAATTGCTTGACGCATAAAGGTTAAAATTTTTGAGAAATTTATTCAACCTAATATTATAGAGCGGCTCTATATGAATTAGTGATTAATGATTATCTATGAAATATTGAAAAATGATTGGAAGCCAAGTAAATCAAGGCGCCCGAGGAATTTATATTCAAGATTTTCTATATGGATAAAGAAATCTCATACAATACAGTAATAATCGTCTTAATAAATTATTTATGGCTTGAGAAAACATTATTATATTATTTTATGATTATATTGCATTTATTATATTCTTTTGTTGAAAATCATAATGCTTTCATACTTTTTGATATTTGCTTTATATACTATCATGAGTAAGGTGATCTCTTTGATTAATGAATATTTGTTTGAAAAGAATATTATAGTGATATTTAATATAATGTTCATAGAATTTTTTTTTTATAAAAGAAGATTTTGAATATGAATTTATCAGGTCCACTTTGGTTCATGGAAATTTATTGGAAACTCCTAAAAGAGGTTTCGCAAAGATCATAGTTTTTCTATTAAATTCGAAGATAGTTTGACAAATGAAGCCATATTGAGATCATAAAATTTTTGTGCTAGCGCTGAAGATCGCACGCATTTTTCCAATAAATGAAATTGGGTGTCCTATGAATCCAGCATACTTGACTAAGTTATTTAACAAGGATATTTATGTGAATAGCCCAATGGCTTTAATAAGGTCCACTTGATAAAAAAGATGACCATTTTTCTCAATTACTTTGAAAAATTATGAAGAACTTATTGTCGTCCTGAAGTATCATATCCTCTTGTGTAATAAAGGACAGTTAATAGATCTTAGTCATTTTAATGGACTAAATATAATTATGCAATTATTATAAAATTTTATTTGCAAAAGAAGTAGTTACCATTCTTGAATAATGAATCGAAACTTGAAATAGAGTATAAATATGTATTTATATGACTATCTGCATTGGCATGATGCTAATATGAGTTTTATATTATACACTAAATATGAGAATAGGATGAAGTAAACACAGCCACCTGTATTCTTTTTCCCTTTAATCCAAGGTTATTTTTCCCACTAGGTTTTCCACTTTTTTTTTTTTTTTCCTTTCTTTTTTTATGAACCAAAAGCTCTCTTCATTCAACTCAATAATAGGTCCAGCAATATACCCACGGGAATATCAATCCCAAACTGAAGCAGAATGAAAAAATGGTAAGGTTCTAGCTTAGAGTATGATGTTGCCAAAGTTGCTTGACTATAAACCCATTTTCACAGAAAAATATTATGCAATTCACGAGAATGCATCATATTATGTCTACAATCAGAAATCAAAACTCTAACTCAGAACTAATTAAGAGTAGGAATTAACGCAACTCTTCGGGACCAATTTGTTAACAGTCCTGAAGCTAACACATACGTTAGGAGGTAGAACAACTTGGAACGCAAAAGCAAGGGCCTCAAACAAAGTTGTTCCTTGAAGGGCGAACACCATTACCCTTCCCGGGAAGAATTCGGATGGCAGCTACTTTGAAATCCTACCATTACTTAGCAATTTTTCAAATAAACAACTTGATTAATGAATATTTGTTGAAAGAATATTATAGTGATATTAATATATGTTCATGAATTTTTTTTTATAAAGAGATTTTGAATATGAATTTATCAATATTTGGTTCATGAACATTATTGGAACTCCTAAAGAGTTTCCAAAGATCATAGTTTTTTAAACGAAGAGTTTGACATGAAAGATATTGAGAATATAAAATTTTGTGCTAGCCTGAAGATCGAGCATTTCATAAATGAAATTTGTCTATGAATCCACATATATGACTAAGTTATTAAAATGATTTTATGTGAATCCCAATGGCTTTAAGGTCACTTGATAAAAAAATGACCATTTTTCAACTTTGAAAAATTATGAAGAACTTATTGGTCCTGAAGTATCATATCTTAGTGTAATAAGGACGTTAATGTATCTTAGTCATATGACTAAATATAAGCATTTTTATAAATTTTATTTGCAAGAAGTAGTTCTTCTTGAATATGAAGAAATTGAATAGAGTTAAATATGTATTTTGATATCTCCATGGCATGATCTATATGAGTTATATTATAACTAATATGAGAGGGAGTAAACACGCACTGTATTCTTTTTCCCTTTAACCAAGGTTATTTTTCCCACTAGGTTTTCTTTTTTTTTTTTTCTTTTTTTTTTATGAAACCAAAAGCTTCATTCAACTCAATAATAGTCCAGCAAATATACGGGAATATCATCCCAAACTTGAAAGCAAGAATGAAAAATGGAAGCTCTAGCTAGAGTATGAGTTGCCAAAGTTGCTTGCCTATAAACCCATTTCACAGAAATATCAACACGAGAATCTAAAATGTCTACAATCAGAAATCAAAACTCCTAACTCAGAATAATCAAGAGTAGGATTAAGCAAATCTTGGACAAATTGTTAACAGTCTGAAGTAACACATACGTTAGGAGGTAGAAACTTGACGCAAAGCAAGGGCCTCAACAATTGCCGGCGAACCATTACCTTCCGAGAATTCGGATGCAGCTCTTTGAAATATACCTTCAGCATTTTCAATAACAAACCCGAAGTCCACATAGTCTAGGGTAGAGAAAATTGCACCATCCACTTAGCACAACCAATCGAATGAACCACTAACATTACCCGCATGTTGTTGACAACGACCCTGCAGGCCTGAAATCGTACCACCTGGACGTTGACGAGAGCGCAACGAACTAGCATTTGGAGTTGCTTCAACTTTAGCACTTTTCCAATTTTCATACCACTTAATTGCTTCAAAATGTATTTGAGCAGGAGATAGACTAATGAGACAGTATTTTAATGCGTATTTAAGAAAATAATAGTGTATTCTTTTTTCTTCATTAATAATTTTTTTCCGTAGGATTTTTTCTTAGTAAGGTTTTAACGAGGCATATTCTTTGAAGAATGAACATCTAAGGAGAGTGTTATGAAATAAGTGGATCTCCTATATGGGCTAAAAGTTTGTATTATTAATTATTGCGAACTCTATCTTCCTGATTTGTATAGAACTATATTAGAGTTCCACTTATGTATATATATATATATATATATAGCTTCTCATTAATAATTATAACACTCTTGTACTCTCTCATATTTTGCTCTCTATTTCTTCTCTTTCTTCTCTCTAATTTTATATTACTTTATAACAGAAAGTACAATGTTTGAATTGAGTGGCAACCGGTATGGAGCTAGTTGAAATCTGATTAAAACAGACGCTGAACCAAGATACTTATTATGATTCTGATTCCTAGGTTCCAGAAACCAAAACCACTCTTTTAGTTTGGTTTCAATTTCCAAAACCATGGAAGTTCTACACGTAACACTGGGCATGACCACGGTTTTACAATCACCGGTTTCAAGTTTAAAACCACAAGTTCCATTTATGAGAAGAGTGAAACTGATATCAAACAGCTTTTAGGTGATCTTTAAGATGTTTCCAAAATTTTTGGTTTCAGATCCATTCTGTTTAAAAATAAAATTTGATAATCTTCTTCAAGATTTTTAATTTTTTTAATTTTATAGTTTGAATAAATAATAATAACAACTAGTACAATGAAAGTATTAAACCAATTTAATACAAGTCTTAAAATTTATTTTAAAAAATTATAGTAAAACAAAAAATAAATTGAGAGTTTCTCTGAAAATATATATATATATTTTTCACGATTTCAAGCTAGAACTGCAAATTTTAAACAAAAACCATCGATTTCAATTTAAAAAATAAAATTCAGACTCAAACTATCAACACATGATTTCAGTTATAGTTACGATCAAGATCCATTAATCACGTTTTGGTCTCAATTTTAACTGATTTGATTTCAACTCAGATCTGGTTTGAAACCAAACCATGGTCATGCTTAAGCAATACATAAAAGCAACAAAGAAATTCAACCGTGTGCTCTTAGTCGCAGCCCGAGATTTTGCCTCTGTTGCCCTTTTAACTAAATGTTCTTTTCTCTCTCATTTTTTAGGCCTGAACATGCTTATTCTAGACATTAAATTTCTATATTATAAAGATTTTGCAACATTTTGTTCATCACAATCAATGATCAGTATCAGATTATATGTCCTTGCAAGTGTAACTACTCTTTCCATCCTTGAATTCAACTAATTCGTTGTTATTGTGAGTTACAAGGCATCTATAGCACAAATCTACCTAGTATATATGTTCATACAACAGTAAGGAAAAAAAGAATAAATTTATGGGAAATTTGTTCTAGATGTGTTATCAGCATTATCATCCAGTATGACTTTAACTCCATTGTTTTTAAGGGCATTGACAATTGCCCATATCTTAGTTCGGTTTTTAAAACCTTTCTTCTCAACCTCTTTGTTTGCATCAACATGAATTCCTCGTCCGTCTCCCTTTTCAAGACCCTCTACTCTGAGTCGCATAGCCAACACCTCTCCAACAACTGCTGCTGCTTTAGCGTTACAGGTCCGGCCACACTCAAGCGTGTTCTTGATCGAATGTTCAACTGTTGATGCTGTTGCAACAATCCTCCCATTGTTTCTGTCCACAACATTTGCTGTAATGTACTTCAGTGATATAAACATCCGCAGTATGTACCTTTTCAAAACTGTCATTCTTTTTTAGCCTCCTGACATTATGTTCAACAACGAAAATTTATCAGTTCTGATGGAATTCTACATCTCTACTAACAGGTAGAAATGATTAAACCAGCAATACATCTCAACAAAAAAGAAATAGTGTTACTCTTCATTCTTTCAATTATACGATCTCTGTAGCCAAAACAAGTGCAGGTTTCTTAAAATTGGAACTCTTTCCAAAGATTCAGCAAGCAACATAGTTCAAATTAATCTCACGTAAATAACACCTATTGTACTTTATTCATTCCTATAAGTAATGGCATGAAAAAGGATCCCTCTAACTGCTTACGACAAAGGCAATACTCTGCTTTTTGAGCCACCTCTAGTCTGTTGAACCAAAATGCAGAAACATCGAGTAAATTCTTTGTCCAATGCAATGTCATCAGGACTTTTAAACAGTGAATGCAGGCAGTTGAGCAACTGTTGTCAGTTTAAACAGTTATTATGTATCTATATAACTGATGTAGATCTGGATTATGTCCTGGAAAATTTTATGATAGCTCAAACCAAGTTGTAAGTTTTTTTTTACAACTTCAATAGAAAAAAGGAGAGTATCTAATCTGGCATTTGGTTCTCCCAGATTGCACCTGAGTTCTTCAAACAACTTAGTAGTCATACTAATACATGATCATCCATCCCTAAAATATTGCTGACTACCATAAAAAATGATTTTAACGATCCTTAACAAGTAGCATATCTAATTAATGCTAATAGGATATCTAAACGCAAATTAATCTACGTTATCTAATTAACCCAACTTATAGCAATATTTTATCCGAGCATTACCAAATTCATCAATAATTCATATATCATCATTCAATCCAATTACCAAGCCATTTCAAAAAAAAAAAAAAAAATTAATAATCAAGTTTTCACAGGACCTTCAATAATCTAAATCATTCATGAATGACTTGAAATTGTAGAGATAAAAGAAAAGTTAATCAGTTATAAACTATAACTAAAATAATGGAACAACAGTTCAAACAATCGAAGAATCAAACAAAATACAACTTAAAAAGGGGAGAAGGTAAATTGGTAATGCATTTAGTGTTGGATTATAATATAGAGGTTTAGCTTGTCTTCCTTTTCCTTCTCTTTAACTATCAACGACAGAAATAAATCCTTGTTATAGGTTGAGTTGTTGGGTTGTTGGTTCTCTTACGACCACCACCCAATTAATCAAACCAACTTGCAAAAGATGCATGGCCATATCATATTATTGGATACAAGCAAGTTCCAAAAATTAGAATACAATAAAAACTTAAATATGCCAAATGAAGTCAATCTCCAATTGGTCTTCTAATTGGCACAGTGAGATTTGAAATGTATGTAATGAATTATATAAAGAAATTAGTAAAAATAAAAGAAACACTGTTATATTCTTACCAAAAATTCAAGCCAGATTAACTGTTATATTCTTACCAAAAATCAAGCCAGATTGCACTCCCAAATAACTATTTATAGATGTCGGGATACTCTCATTCAGCAAAGAATATGACAGAGCTTACAACCTCAGCTCAACTGCATTATTGCCATCTAATCAGAACTCATAACAAAATAAGAGACAAATAAAAAAAAAAAAGAAATACATGTTGGTACATAGAAGTTCAAAATCAGTATCAAGACTTATAGGATGTGTTGAAAGAATCAAGATTTAAATTTCAATTTGTCAAGTGGATAATGGGCCTGAAAGAATAATTCATCAACAGAACACAATACCTCAAGGTCTTTATCTCTAATTTTTCTTTCAATCATAACCACCAAAACCCCAATTAGAAAACCCTTTAATATATCCAAACTTAATTCTCTTTCACCTGATTGAAAATAGGCTAATGAAAGCAAATTAAGTCTATAGAGAGATGAAAAGCAAAAGCAATGAAATGCAGTAATTAACAAATAAAAGAAAAACAAAACTATAATTGATCACTTCAAATTTGAAACTCGAGTGTAAAATGATGCATAAGTTGGTTGAGACAATAGAAAACTGATATGCAATTATGAAAAAGATTCTGTAAAGAAAAGCCCAAATATGAAGAAATTAGAATGCGAGGGGGCCAAATTTTGTAGGAGAATAAGAAGGTTTGAGCAGGCAAGGAGAAAGCTTTGTTGAACAGCTCCCTTCTATAATGGGCAAATCGGTTTGTAAAAGAGAGAGGGAGAGAGACGAGTCTATCAGAGATAAAAAGATGTGGCACTAAAGGAGTCAAAATGAGATGATTATAGCTAATTAATTTGGCAAGGGCAAAGAAAGACAATTTGCTAATCATTATGAATACAAGCACCCTGTAGCTATAGATGTTAATTATCTTAAGTCAAAAAACATATTTTCATATTCACTTAATTTCGTATGTTACATTATTTCTGCACTTAATTGTTATTCCTATTAATTTTTCCCTATTTTCCTCTTACAGCTTTCCTAACAAGGGAATGAATCCTTCTCAATCATCATTCACGAATACGGAAGTTAAAAACAAGTATATTGTTCATTAGCATGAAAAGGCATCAGCTAATCAAAAGAATTCAAAACATTTTCCCAAAGAACATAAAATTTCTACGTTTTATTTTCATTGGACAAACAAGAAGATAATAAATTGGAAAAGCTAACTGATCTATTATACAATTCACTCAGTAAGTGGAACAACTCGTTCAGGCATAAAGACAAACACGTAGTAGATTACCAAAAAATAAACTAAATAAAAAGCCTTTTTTTTTTTTTTAAATTTCTCTATCACCTCATGTACGTCAATAAGTTATTCTTCTATTCAAATTTCATTAAGCTAAAAATCCCATATCACCAAAAAATAAGATTCAAACAAAAACATATCTGGGTCAAGTTCCTCCTCTGAACAACACAGGCAAAAGGATTTTACCTTCTTTATATATTTAATAGACATTATAAACATAAAATGGCAATACAAAAATTCAGGGAGCAAAAAGAAAATTAACCGAAACAAAATAAATTCACCTTATTGGATTTCGGAGAGAGCAGATAGAAAACAGACAGAGAGTAAGAATGAACGACTGAAGAAGCAGATGAAGAGAGCAAAACGGCGTCGTTACTTTCCTTCTCAAACTAGGCCTAGGGCAGGCCTGGCCCGGGCCTGATAACTTGCGCTTGAGCCAGGTAACGTAAAACGTTTCGTTCTGGGTCACGTGGAAAAAATAAGGAACCGCCGAGCCGACTTCCAGGAGACTCACACAGTATAACACAAGCACGCAACTTACTTTATTAAAAAAAATATAATAAATAACGGAAAAACAACCACACACGTGTCATCTTTTCGTTTCCTCTCCTTCTATAAATACTCAAATCACTTCCGAAACATCTCCTTTTGCCATAACCCTAATCATCGGGTGTAACAACGCTGCTCCGAACTAACTGAAAGAAAACCCTAGATCTAAACCACACTCTTCTTCTTCATCAGATCGTTTCACATCAAGGTCTTTTTTTTCTATCAAAATTTTTTGAATATATGATTGTTGGTTAATTGTTTTTGAATCATAATTATAATTTTGTTTTGTTGCCTTTTTTTTTCTTTGCTGGCAGCTTTTGAGGATGGTGTCTGACGCTAGCAAAAAGAAGGCCGCACAGAAGAAGGCGGCGGCAGCAGCGAAGAGAGGTGGGAAGTCAGCAGCCGCGGCTGCTTCATCTAAAGCAGCAGCTACGGCGGCGGCCGATGATGCCAGTGTTGATAAGTTGTCGAATGGGGTTGGGACTATTCAGATATCGGATCGGACTTGTACTGGTGTGCTTTGTTCGCATCCTCTTTCCAGAGATATTCGGGTAAGTTAATATATTCCATCTTATCAATTATATGATGATTTTATTATGTAAGAAAATATGAGGTGAGGCGTTATTCCTTCGTCATAGTCGCGAAAGTTGAGGTTCTAAAATTTTAGTCGCTGCATTTAGAATTTTCGGGAGATTGAATTTTGTATTGCTATGTTTGTTTGGTCTTTGTGGCTTTTATGGTACTATAAAGTCTTTTATTTTTCTGCATTTATCTCGTCCCATACCATTCTTCTTTTCCTTGATTAAATTTGTTGATTTTTTTTTTTTCAAATGACAGCTATTTGGATAAAACGTGGAATGATATAGTTATATGCATTGGATTCTGTTCAAATTATATATATATTGATTTGGAGGGATGTTAGTTAATAAAAGGAATAGATGGATGGAATGGAACGCTGGAGAAAAAGTGTAATTAACTGGTCGATTGAAGCCAACCACAAATAGATATTGTAATGCAGGGTCAAGAATTAGGAGTACTTTTACTGTTTCAATGTCTTGTGGATAATTGAGATTACTATGTTTCAAATAGAACGAAGATTTTGTTCACAAGCTTTTTTATTAGATGTAATACTTATATCTGGCACTTGGGATGTATGCATTTGGCCTTTATGATGGCATGCTGTACTTCATATTCCAATAAATTAGATATTAGAAGGTTACAAGGAGAATCTCATAGATCAGCATGCTCCTACATTCATATTTTAGGTGTATACTTTGAAACATTATAAAAAAGAATGTCAGTACAATAAGTATGGTTTTTAACTAGTACGTAATGTCGGCATAAAGAGTCTCACTACTAGCTTATTGTTGCTATCTTAGTGTACCTAGACAAGTGCCTAGGCGAGCGGCTGGGTCTGTCACCAGGGCATTCTGACAACTCTTGATGCCATCTTTAAATACTAGAAATTTTCCTTGTGATTATAAGCAATTGTTCATCCTTGTGGACACTCCTTGGAGGAGGTAATATTGAAAGATTAGAATTTCTAGTTTTGCATGGAGTTGAATTTTGTGTAGAGAATAAATTTGACGATCAACTAATTTATATGTTTATTTCAGATCGAGTCTTTATCAGTTACTTTCCACGGACATGATCTCATTGTTGATTCTTTGCTTGAGCTCAATTATGGCAGGTTTGATAATCTTACCTTGTGACTCAACCTTAGACTATTCTTATGAAACTGTGTTTTGTTAATTTTTTTTTTTTTATTTGGTCTGTTGCTTTTTAGACGATATGGATTGCTGGGATTAAATGGATGTGGGAAATCAACCCTGTTAACTGCAATTGGTTGCCGTGAGCTCCCAATTCCAGAACACATGGATATATATCACCTCAGCAGAGAAATTGAAGCTTCTGACATGTCTGCACTTGAGGCTGTCATTAGCTGTGATGAGGAGAGGTTGAAATTAGAGAAGGAAGCTGAGATATTAGCAGCACAGGTATGTGCATGTACCTAAACATCTTTGTATTTTTAAAACTTGTTGCACCATGAATATTTTTTCATGATTGTCAAATGTGTATATATTTCGTATGGCTTTAGGATGATGGTGGTGGAGAGGCCCTTGAACGTGTCTATGAACGTTTGGAGGCTATGGATGCTTCTACTGCAGAAAAACGGGCTGCTGAGATCTTATTTGGTCTTGGTTTTAACAAGCAGATGCAAGCAAAGAAAACTCGAGATTTTTCTGGTGGGTGGAGGATGAGGATTGCATTAGCTCGGGCTCTGTTCATGAACCCTACTATCCTTTTGCTTGATGAACCTACCAATCATCTTGGTGAGTTATTTTTATGATAATGTTACTCTATTAAGATATTCCCCAGATATTGCATGGTGTACATATTTAGTTAGGAGAGGAATTACATGTCAGCTCCCACCAAGAATTGTTTGTGAATCTTGAATCATAGTTAAACAACAATTATGACTTACTTTCTCTTTTAACACCTCCCACATTAAAATATCATGCTGATGAACAGGAGGCATATGGAGGTTACTTGAAACATGACCAGATCATTTTAGATGTCCTTTTCTCATTTGATCCCATAAGTGTGCTACTTGCATCCATATTTTTTATTTTCTTCTCCATGGATTTTTTTTGAAAAAATAAAGATCTAAATGGATGATTTTGGTTTTGGATTATACTAGTGCTCTTGTAATTCATGTACATCTGTTATGGTTGATATATGGAGCATGCAGGACAAGATCTCATGGTTTTCCCTCCTCTTTTCTTTTGTAACCCTTTCAATAGGTTGCTTTAGGATAAGCTTGTTAATATTATATTAGCTGCGGAATTACTGTAATTGTTTGACATTTTTAGAACTTCATGAGTTCATGTAATTGCATGAGTAGCTTGTCTGCAATTTGTTGTGAAATGTGTTGTGCCTGGACTAAAAATTTGTGAAATTATAGCTCACAAGCTATATACCCCTTTTTTTTCACAGGGTTGAAATCAAGTGACTTGCTAATGATTAAATTTTTTGTTACTGGTGGTGACAGATTTGGAAGCTTGTGTCTGGTTGGAGGAAACTTTGAAGAAATTTGACCGCATCCTAGTTGTGGTGTCTCATTCCCAGGATTTCTTGAATGGTGTCTGTACCAACATTATACACATGCAAAACAAGAAATTGAAGATCTACACTGGGAACTACGACCAATATGTTCAGACCCGTTCTGAACTGGAGGAGAATCAGATGAAGCAGTACAAGTGGGAGCAGGAGCAGATTGCTTCAATGAAGGAGTACATTGCCAGATTTGGACATGGATCAGCAAAATTAGCTCGTCAAGCGCAAAGCAAAGAGAAAACGCTTGCAAAAATGGAGCGTGGTGGTCTTACAGAGAGGGTGGTCAGAGACAAGGTTCTGGTCTTCCGTTTTGTTGATGTTGGGAAGCTTCCACCTCCAGTCCTTCAATTTGTGGAAGTTACATTTGGTTATACTCCTGAGAATCTTATTTACAAGAACCTGGACTTTGGGGTAGACCTGGACTCCAGGATTGCTCTTGTTGGGCCCAATGGTGCTGGGAAAAGTACGCTGCTGAAGCTTATGACAGGGGATTTGGCTCCTCTTGATGGCATGGTTCGGCGGCACAATCACTTGAGGATTGCACAATTTCATCAACACTTGGCTGAAAAGCTTGACTTAGACATGTCTGCTCTACAATATATGATCAAGGAATATCCGGGGAATGAGGAAGAAAAAATGAGAGCAGCAATTGGGAAGTTTGGGCTGACTGGCAAAGCCCAGGTGATGCCCATGAAGAATCTCTCAGATGGGCAGAGGAGCAGGGTGATATTTGCTTGGTTAGCTTACAGGCAACCCCAATTGCTGCTGTTAGATGAGCCAACTAACCATTTAGATATTGAGACTATTGACTCTCTTGCTGAAGCATTGAATGAATGGGATGGTGGTTTGGTTCTTGTTAGCCATGACTTCAGGCTTATAAACCAGGTAGCAGAAGAGATATGGGTTTGTGAAAATCAAGCCGTTACCCGATGGGAGGGTGATATTATGGACTTCAAAGAGCACCTCAAGAGAAAGGCTGGCTTATCTGATTGAGTCGGATTATATTAATAGAAGTGAAGAATATGATCCTACTATCATCATGCCCTAATCTATCGTTGAGAATCACAGCACACACAGGTTATGGTTGTGGATCACAACATGGGCAGGTGAGTGCCGCCTAAGGATGGTGTTTGACCAAGGTGAATTACGGTGAAAGTTAAGCTAGAGAGCAGAGAGGTAACAAAAGGCTTGGTTATTGTTTTGAGCTGAAATGTGCCTTTCCTGTGCTTAGTGACCAGGTGATTATTTTTGTTTTTGATTATTATATTTGCACTTGGTTGTGCAAGAGAAGGATGATTAAGAATATTTCTAAGAGGTTTAGGTTATACTTATGCAGACCTCTTATATGTGCTTTGTTATATTTGAGAATATTGTTGTACTTGAGGACTTCGGTGGTAACCTAAATTTTATGTTTTAGGTTTGGTTCTTAATGTGGTATTTCTGATTCTCATTTGTGATTGTGGTATAAGGTTTGGAATGTGTTTACCTGTGCTAAAAGCAGAATCTAATACCTTGCAAGCTTGTGAGGTTTCACGGGAAAAAGGGTTATTATGCTCTTAATTATTCTATATTTTAAGAAATTCTTGTTAAATATACAAAAAATAGATTTGTACAAATAACTAGTTGTTGTAGTAGCATCTGCCGGATTGACTGAAATTTATATTACTTTTGAGAAAAGAGGAAGTCAAGAAAGTAGAAGTAAATTATACCTTATTAGAAAGCAAAAGACACTGTTGGAAACTTAAAAATTATACACTAAATACATACATACTTATAGAGAATAAGAAACAAAAACAAAACAAATTGTTTTCGAACAGTAGCAGAGGATACAATGCTTGAATGAATGAATTTATAGGACGAGCGTACCATAATAATGGCTATCTTCGATAACTTTGCCAAAACCAAAACAAAAGTAAGTCTTTGAGTGAACTACAAAACTCTATTTTGTTATTCATATTATATGATAAGAGAAAAAGAAACTATCGGTGTTAATGAAACTCTATTTTGTTATTCGAGAAAAAGAAAATATTGGTTATATAAATATACAGATAAGAGAAAATTCAAAAAAATTAAACTCTTCAAAAATTTGAAATCTATAATAAAAATTCAATAAAAATGAAAGAAATAAATTAAAAATGTAGAAATTTGTAAAAAAAAAAAAAAAAGAAAAGAAAAAGGAAAATGGTAAAAGAATAGGATGTCAATTCAGCTTTTCATATATTTTTTTTCTCTGAATTATATATATAGGGTCGCCTTTGCAAGTTCCATTTTCAGATGATGGTTAGGGATGACCGTGGGTAGGGTTCAAGTGGGATAGGCAATTACCCATATCCAATCCAATCTCATCCTCAATCCCATGCCCTACCAATGGGTCTGGGTATACCCTTCCATTGCTCATGGATATTCATTTACCCACTAACTTATATTTTTAAAAATTAGATTATTGAATTGAAAATATTTTTTTGAATATAATATGTTAGGATTCCATCACAAAATTTGAAATCAATACAAATAATACCGGGAGGATATGGTCTCTCTCCTGAGAACCAAATATAGAACAAAAATTATTCTATAATTATTGTTCGTTAATCTAATAAAAAATCCTAATAAAAATTGGAAAATGAACTTGAAAAAAGTGATAGATCTTCAAAAATGGATAGTTAGGTAAACTCTCTGAATCTTTTATACATGACCTAATTATTTATGAACTAGTTGCTTATAACGAACACCAAGGATTTGAGCTACTAAATCCAATGGAAGAACTTTTGAAGTTCCTTTACACATAAAAATACTATGATTTAATATCTTATAATTTAAATATATTATAATATCAGATATTAAATTTATTAATCCCTTATTGGTAGTTTTTTTTATTAATATTATAAATTTAATTTCAAACGCAAATATAGAACAAAAATTTAATTCTATTTAGATTATTGTTTCGTTAATCTACATAAAAAATCCTAATAAAATTGGAAAATGAACTTTGAAAAAAGTGGATAAGATCTTCAAAAAAATGGATAGTTAGGTTAAACTCTCTGAATCTTTTATACATGACTAATTATTTATGACTAGTTGTCTTATAACGAACACCAAGGATTTGAAGGCTACCTTAAAATCCTGGCAGAACTTTTGGAAGTCCTTTACCATAAAAATACTATGATTTATAGTCTAATAATTTAAATATATTATAATATCAGTATTAATTTATTAATCCCTATTGGTAGTTTTTTTTATTAATATTATAGATTTAATTTAATTTCATTCTAATTAGGAATTTGACTTTAGTCCTATTCTAATTATGATATCAGTTTATTATTTATATTATATTAATATTATAAATTTAATCCCACTCTAATTAGGAATTTGTCCTTTAGTACTATTTTAATTAAGATTTTGTCCTATCATACCACTGTATATATGTTTAGTTTTAATTACTTTTGAGTTTTGACTATCAAGAATTTGTTACTTTTTGACTATCACAAATTTGTTGATTTTGACTATCAAAAATTATTACATCAAACTTTACTAATTTAAAATTATTGAGTTTGCAATGTCTTCTGCGATAAATATAATCATAACTTTCTCTATTTACAAATTGATAGAATAATTTTATATTTATATTTATTAGGTATGTTCTAACAACTATAGAAAGTTTAATCTAACTCTAAATAGGAAATTATTAAATATTTTAATTTTATTAGTTGAAAAATAAAGCTAATGTAATTATTAAAGATTTAATTTTCTATTTAAATATATATTCTATAAATATATATTCTATTGAATAAATAAATATTATTATATATTATACAAGATATATATCGGTAAGAATTATAAACCTTTAAGGATTTTAATTTTATTGGTTGAAAAATAAAGTTAATTTAATATTAAGAAATTTAAAATTTTCCTATTTTAAAGTAAATTCTATTGGATAAAATAATAAATTATATTATATAGTTATGTAAAGAATTATATATGGTTAAGAATATAAAATTTTAAGAATTTTTTAATTTTGCTTGGGTTGAAAAATAAAGATAATTTACTTTGAAATAAATATAATTTATTAGTAAAAAAAGTAGGAACCCACCCCCATAAATGTATAAATTATAAATTGAAAATTATTATAAATTGAAATTCTTTTCTTTTCTTCATATTTCATTTTATTTGCTTTGTTAGTATTGTCGGTTACTTTTTGCCTTATCACTCTCTTGAAGGTATTAATTATTTTATCACTAATTTGCTAAGTAAATTTTTTGATCAAGTTTCAATTAGTATAAAATTTTTAAGTTTTAAAAATTTTATTTAAATCATGATTGTAACTTTTTAACATTTAACGTTTCTTTTTTTTTTTTTAAGTTGTCGCATATTTTTAGTTTAAAAATTTATTATACTTTGATTTTAACATTACATCCATTATTATGATAATAAATGACAAATATAATGTTAAAATCAAACTCAATTGAAAATTTAATCTATCAAATAAATGACAAATATAATGTTAAAATCAAACTCAATTGAAAATTTAATCTATCAAATAACTATATTTTCTTTGGCTACTATCAAATATTTTTTTGCTTTTATTATCAATAATTCATCGAAGACTCTCTACTATCAAGAGTTTCTTTGTTATTGCTATATCGAAAATTTTTCACTTTATTATTATTAGTAGCTAAGGTACTAATTTTTAACTTTTGATTTTTTTTATTTTGGTATACTATTAGAAAAAAATTTCTAATTTGATTACCAATAATTTATATATGTATTTACTTTTCTATACAGTGAGATCCTGGATAAAATGATTATTTATTTTCAACTTTGCTACTATTCTATTTTGTCAAAAAATCTATCGTAAAAAATTATTAAAATTTTTCATCAAATAATAAATATACATAACAGTAATTTGCACCTATTTTATACATGTAATAACTATAATTAAAACTATTGAAATTGTTTTTATAAAAATTAATAAAAAATTAAAATATAAATAATCATCCTAATGGATATATTTAACGAGCACCATGCTTCTTATTAAACTTAGTTGGTTGATAGTGTGTATTGGTATTTTCATCGTCTGCAACTTAATTTTAAAAACAGGGACGAGAAAGCTTTCAACAAACAAAAGTGATCTAGTGGTAGGATAGTACCCTGCCACAGTACAGACCCAGATTCGACTCCCCGCTAGTGCATTAAGGGCTGTGAGGAAATGCTCATATGACAGATGGGGTCTGTCACAATCATCTGACTTTGAAGATGATAGTAAATTTACAAGTAAAATTTTGACTGGATGAAAAAAAGTTAATATTTCACAATTAACTCTTGATCATCCTACATTTGTATATAACTGACGATCACAAAGCAACAAAGTCCATTGTTCCCTTTTTCAACTATCTTTGCTCCACCGGAATCTGCTAGCTCATCGGATGGCAAGTCTGATTGCAACCAACGATCACCAGCTGTTGACACACTCCGAGGATAACCAGCTCTAATCTCTGGACCATATAGTTGATCAACAATAGCACCTTTTGCCTCTGCAAATAGAGAACAGAAACTGTTTGAATGCCCAATAACACTACAGAAAAAGCAGAAATTTGGCAACCTTTCGTACTTGAACACCATCCAAACCCAGTCACCTCCAACTTTTTTACTGTGCATTCGTCGTTTAAGAGGACAACGAACATCAAACAACACAGGAAAAAGCATAAAACCACACCATAATCCAGAAAATTTGAAGAGATCAGCTTCAATGAGGTAAGTCGTGGACTTGTACTCAGAAATATGAATTAGTACCTTGCATGCTTGTGAGGTTTTACGGTAAAAAAAGGGTTGTTATGCACTTAATTATTCTATATTTTAAAAAAAATTCTTGTGAAATATGAAAAGAAGTTGCATATAAATAATAACTAGTAATTGTAATAGCATATGCCGGATTGACTGAAAATTTTATTTTTCTTTTGAGAAAAGAGGAAGTCAAGAAATTAATATTGTCTTTTTAAGTCTCCCTTTATTTCTGTAAAAAAATTTGCAGAAAAGTGCAGTGCCTGTTGAGATTTATCTATTAAAGAGATAGATTTGTTTTTTTTTTTGTATTTAGAGAATGTATATCTTTAGAATATCTGATATACTTGATTTGTGTAATCCTCCTTCATTTACGTTGTTTATCTCCTATAGTTTAGGAACTGATGTATTATATATTAGAGAGGTCGTTCCTTGTAACTGCAAGTTGATATAGAATGAAAGTCTGAAATTTAACTGATGTATTATATATTAGAGAGGTCGTTCCTTGTAACTGCAAGTTGATATAGAATGAAAGTCTGAAATTTAACTTGGTATCAGAGCTAAGAAATTGTCTCTGAAATTGTCAAATCTGTAACAATGGCGGATGTCTCTAAATCAACTCCTGCTCAGGTGGTTGTTCAATCTGAAGGTGTTTTTAATGCAGGTATAACATTGGATGAATCTAATTATGATGTATGGTCACAACTAATGGAAATGCACATCGCTGAACGAGAGAAACTCTCGTTTATTAGAGGTAAGAACGAGAGAAACTCTCGTTTATTAGAGGGAAGAAGGATCCACCGTCAGAGGAAGATCCAGAATATGAAGCATGGTATGGTGCAAATCAAAAGGTCAAGAGATGGCTCTTGATGTCTATGAAACCAGAAATCATGAAGAGATATCTCAGGTTACCTACAGCTCGAGGAATATGGGAAGCGTTGTCTAAAGCCTTCTATGATGGAAGTGATGAACTGCAAGTATTTGCTTTGAATCAAAGGGCCTTTGCAGCAAGACAGAGAAGTCGACCCCTAACAGAATACTATGGTGAACTGATTGAGATCTTTAGGGAATTGGACCATCGTGACAAGATTGTTATGAAGGACCCTGGAGATGTGGAGTTGTATGACAAGTCTACTGAAAGGCTGAGAGTACATATCTTCTTAGCTGGATTAGATGATGATCTAGAACAAGTCCGAGGAGAAATTCTAAGAAAGGATATTGTACCTGACTTGGAAGGACTTTGGAAAAGGGGTGTTATGCTTTGATCAGAAGGGAAAACTTTATCGTCGTACAACTCTCAAAACAGGGAGACATCCAAAACGATGATTGCACTGTCTTGATAGCAAAAGAACCGCACAAAAACAATTTCAGGGGCCCAACAGGAATTAAATTTACACATGTACTCGTGTAATAATCCCGGCCCACACCAAGAACGTTGCGTTTTGAGATTATAGGGGTATCCTGAATTGGTGGGATCACAGAACAAAAAGCACCCTAGGAGAAAGTCTAAAGCACCCCCTGCGCTGGCTTTACTACTGCTGATGAAAGCAAAAGCATTGCCACCAACCACAGGAAGTGAATGATCAAGGTTGGTTAAGCCTGCACTTTAAAACGTTAATAGCCAACATGGATAATTTGAATTCTGGCTTCACTGATTCCATTTGTAACGTTTTTGATTGCTAGACAAATTTAAAACATCTTTAAACACTCATCTTTATAAATATTATCCACTGCAGGATGGCAGAATCCTTCTATCATTTGGTCAAGGAATTACTCTTTTTCACATGAATTAAATTCTTTGGATACTGTTTCTTGTTGTTCCATCCTTAAAAATACAATCCTTTCTATCTGTCTCCCAAAATAACCAAGCTTCTATTATGTGTTTGTTCTTGATTTTTTTGGCCTGACTGCTTGTTGGTTTTAAGGATTATCTAGCTTTATTATGTGTTGTGATTTTTTGGCCTGACTCTTGTGTGTTTAAGGATATTCGAACAAGGAGGACGATTGGGTGTGGTATTAGACAAGGAAGACTATATTATTTGGATCTGAACAAAAAGGACTCAGACAGATTGGGGAGATCTTTAGCAGTTGATTCAAATAATGAAGGAGATATTCAGTTGTGGCATCGACGTCTAGGACATTTATCATTAGTTATCTTAAAAGGTTGTTTTCAGATCGTTTTTTAGACATAAACATTTCATCTTTGTATTGTGATGTTTGTGAACTTGCAAAGAGTCATAGAACATCGTTTCCTTCAAATTCAAATAAAAGTCCATTGCCTTTTATGATTATTCATTCAGATGTATGGGGTCCGTCTAAAATTTCAACTTTAGGAGGATCACAGTGGTTTGTTACATTTATTGATGATTGTACATGACCTGGCTTTGCATGATGGAAATCCAAGAAGTTGAACGTGGCAAAGTTATTTAAAAACATTTGCAAAAATGAATTGAAAACACAGTAGAAAGGAAAGGTTGCAAGTTTTGGAATATGATAAGTGGAGGAGAATACAGCAGTCAGGAATTGAGAAGTGATAATGGAGGAGAATACATGTAGTCAGAACTTCAATCTTTTTTAGCGGATCGAGGAATTATTCACCAACGCACCTGCCCTAATACTCCATAGCAGAATGGAGTAGCAGAACGAAAAAATCGTCATTTGTTAGAAGTAGTCAGGGCTGCTCTAATTGAAGCTCAAATGCCGGCATGTTATTGGGGTGAAGCGCTTTCATATGCGGTCTACTGTATCAATCGGAGTCCCTCCAAGACCCTTGAATATAGCACACCAATTAAATGTCTGATGGATACTGTAGTAAGTCCTAAAATTGCAGATTTAACTCCTCGGGTGTTTGGATGTGTAGCCTATGTTCATTTGTCTAAAAGGGAACGGAGTAAACTAGCACCGCGAGCTGAGAAATGTGTGTTTCTTGGCTATCCTCCTCATCAAAAGGGATATCGATGCTATAATCCTCAAACAAGTAGGATGTTTGTTACTATGGATGTTGTATTCCATGAAAATGTTATGTTTTTCAGACAAGAGCCTGAAATTCAGGGGAAGTGCCATGATGAAGTTCAAACTCTTGTATATGATGAAAGTGAAAGTAACAGTAAAAGCAAATCAATTTTTCTTGTACCTAATCACACGGAAGAAGAAGTGCTTGAACCAGATCATACGGAAGAAATGCTTGAATCGAATCCCACGCATACGGAAGAAATTGCTTGAAATCGAATCCCACGTGCGAAGTGGAGCATGAAGCCAGATCATACAGAAGAAGTGCTTGAACCGAATCATACGGGGACGAAGTGGAACATGAAGGGACACCACCAAACCAATCGTCCTTTCCCAGGAGATATCATATCAAGGAAAAAGAGCTTGCCAGAAATCGCAAGTACTAGAGTATTTCCAAAGAGCTTTACCTATGAAACCTGAACCTTCTAATTAAATCCAAGTTTTACCCATGATTAATTACTCTAATTTGTCTGAGCCAAAGTCAAAAACATTTGCATTTATGAATCAATTGTCTAGTGTATCAATCCTAATTAGTGTAACAGGAGGGGCTCTAAGCTGATCCAAGATGGAAGGAAGCGGCAATTGAATTGAAAAAATGAAGTTCCTAAAAAGCGAATAAAACATGGATGTGGTTGAATGTCCAGCCGGGAAAGAAAACCCTGTAGGCTTGTCGTTGGGTATATAACAAATAAAAGTTATAATGCAGGACGTTTCTATTGGAAAGGGGCTCAAGGCGAGATAGTTGCAACAGGGATATACTCAATTCATATGGGCAATTGATTAATTACAGAGACATCTCGCTCCAGTTTGCCAAGATGAATTTACTGTTCGAGTTTCTGCTCGTCATTAAGCGGCAAATCAGATTGTTCGAGTTTTGCTGTCATTAGCGGCAAATCGAGACTGGCCATTAAAACAATTTGACGTGAAGAATGCTTTCTTACACGGAGAACTATCTGAGGAGGTTTATATGGATTTGCCAGAAGGATGCTTGATTGAAAATTCAAAAGGCACAAAGGTTTGTAAATTAAAAAGGGCACTATATGGTTTGAAGCAATCACCACGAGCCTGGTTCAGAAGGTTCACACAATCGATGACAGCTTTCGGTTATCGACAGAGTAACCAAGAGCACACTTTATTCTTTAAAAGGAACAATGAAAAAATTACAGCGCTCATTATTTATGTCGATGATATGATAGTTACAGGAGATGATCCGGAAGAAAGAAGAAGGTTGCAAGAACATTTATCAAGAGATTTCGAAATGAAGGATCTTGGTTGTTTAAAATACTTCCTAGGAATTGTTGCAAGAACATTTATCAAGAGATTTCGAAATGAAGGATCTTGGTTGTTTAAAATACTTCCTAGGAATTGAGGTTTCAAGATCAAGAGCAGGAATCTTCTTGAACCAATGAAAATATGCATTGGATTTGTTGAAGGAGACAGGAATGACAGGATGTAAACCAGCAAATACTCCAATAGAAGGAGGATTGAAGTTGTGTGTGGAAGAAGATCAAACTCCAACTGACAAAGGACAATTTCAGAGATTGGTAGGGAAATTGATGTATCTATCACATACAAGGCCAGATTTAGCATATGCTTTGAGTACGGTCAGTCAATTTATGCATAATCCAGGTAAACAACATATGGATGCAGTAACACATATCTTGAGGTACATAAAAGCTGCACCAGGAAAGGGAATTTTGTTCCGGAAAAACTCAACTGAACAAGAAATTCAAGTTTACACAGATGCTGATTGGGCAGGTGACATTGGTGATAGAAAATCTACATCGGGATATTTTACATTCGTAGAAGGGAATCTTGTCACATGGAGAAGTAAGAAACAGAATGTGGTAGCTAGATCGTCTGCTGAAGCTGAACTTAGAGGAGTTGTACTTGGACTTTGTGAAGGATTATGGATAAATCTTCTTCTTGGAGATTTAGGATTTGCATCTGCTTTCTTGGAGATTTTTTTAGGGATTTGCATTCTGCTCGTCCAATTAGCTGTGTACTTTTGATAACAAAGCAGCATTGTGATATTTGCCCATAATCCCATTACAAACAGCGAACAGGATGAAAACACGTGGACCGTAGATAGATTTTTTATCAAGAAAAGCTGGATAATAATGCCTTAAAGGTTTTCATAAGAATTCAGTCTTGAAAACCAATTAGCAGGAACATCTTTACTTAAACAGCCTAGTTGACAAGTCAGATTTTCTTATAAAAATGTCGTTGACAGTGGGAATGTGGGATATTTCATTCACCAACTTGCAGGGAAGTGTGAGATTTGTTCTATTAAAGAGATAGATTTGTTTTTTTTTTTTTGTATTTAGAGAATTTTGTTTATATCTTTTTAAATATCTGATATAACTTGATTTGTGGTTAATCCTACTTCATTTACCGTTGTTTATCTCCTATAGTTTAGGAAACTTATGTATTATATATTAGTAGAGGTCGTTCCTTGTAACTGCAAGGTGGTGAATAGTAGGAATGAAAGTTCTGAAATTCTTAAACTGGCCAACCTATTTTTATGAAATAGGCATTTGATTGTTTAGCAATCTTCGAAGAGAAAATAAGTTTAACAAAAAAAGTTTAAATTTTTTGAAATTTTTTTTCTGTTTCAAAATATTGAGTTAGAATATCTGATATACTTGATTTGTGTAATCCTCCTTCATTTACGTTGTTTATCTCCTATAGTTTAGGAACTGATGTATTATATATTAGAGAGGTCGTTCCTTGTAACTGCAAGTTGATATAGAATGAAAGTCTGAAATTTAACTGTGCCAACCTATTATGAAATAGGCATTTGATTGTTAGAATCTCAAGAAAAATAAGTTAAAAAAAAAGTTAAATTTGAATTTTTTTTCTGTTTCAAAATATAGAAAAATTAAATTTTTATATTTTCTTAGAACGCATCTATTATTATCTATTACCTTTTTTGAAAATATGTTATCTATTATCTAAACATAACAATTTAACTTTTTCAATTTTTTTCATTCAATTTTTTGTTTTTTCAGAAAAGTTACTTTTAATAGAAAAATTGAATTTTGATAACTATGATGCCACCTAAAAAAAAAATAGAGTTGGATGGATTGAACTTTAGAACATATATACATCTATACTTAAGTGGAATTGTTTTGCATATATAAAAATATATAGAAAATTAAATTCTTCTAGATACAGAAATTCATTTACGTGAAATCTTATGCAAATGAGATAAATTTTATATTTTATTTATATAACTCTAGAATTCTGAAATTTAAGAAAACTAGTAATGGTATTGGCTTTAGGCCTTCGGTCATACTTTGATTCTGTTTAGTAATATTAGCTATTTTAATAATTGTTGGCTTGTCGCAGTTATTATTTAGGTCTGTTCGTTAATATTTTAGTAGTTATTTGCGGTTATAACTATTGGCTGGTAGAGCTCTAAGCTATTAGCTTTTAGCTGCAAGCTATATATATATAGAGCAAATTAAATTAGAAATGCTCGCTAAAAATAGCTGTTTAATTAATTGTTAACTTAAAATGACTAAAAAAGAACATTAGTTATTTGATTAGCTGAATTCAAGAAAACAATGGATGTATTGTCAAAAAATTTCAATTAAAAGTTAAACCTAAACGTTAGAGTATTTAACATTTCGTAAAACGTTTTTTCAACCTATAAAAATTAGTATAAAACTTATGTTATCGAATGCTACAATTAGTAGAAATAGAGATTTAACTTGATCAAAATGCTAAAACTAAAAACTAGTTCAAGCTGTTGAACGAGTCTTTTTATAAAATTCAAAAGAATAGATACCTAGTCCTATTCAGCGACAACTTTTAAATTATATTTTTGAACATCATACTCATTGCTAGTTGTTACCTTTACTTGTTTAACTTTTTGCTAGTATCTATTTATAAAGCAATTTAAATTAGTAGTACTCGCTGGTAGTTCAGATTTTGTGACCTCCTCAAATTCATTTACAAGTAACTTTGATTTAGATGTGGTTCCTTAGCAAGTCCCATTTTCAGATGGTGGTTAGGCTTATTTTATACTTTTAAGGTTTACTGTTGAAGTGATATGAAGAATACAGGAAAAAGAAAGCTCAATAAGCACCAGTGGTCTAGTAGTAGAATAGTATTCTGCCACGGTACAGATCCAGGTTCAAACGACGAGTCTGATAGCAACCAGTGATCAGCAGTCGTTGACACACTCCGACGATAACCAGCTCTAAACTCTGGACCATATAGTTGCTCAACAACAGCACCTTTTGCCTCTGCTAATAGAGAACAGAAAATGTTTGAATTGTCAATAACACTGTACAAGAAGCAGATTGCCAACTTTTTCCCAACCCAATCATCTCCAACTTTTTTACTGTGCATTCGTCGTTTAAGAGGACAACGAACATCCAACAACACCATAATCCAGAAAATTTGAAGAGTCAGCTTCAATGAATTCTCCGATATAATTTTCAATGGATACTGCTACTTTCTCAGACATAAACCTACGAGGACTGAGGTAAGTCGTGCTGCTGCTGCTGCCATCATCATCATCATCATCATCATCATCATCATCATCATCATCATCATCATCATCATCGTCGTCGTCGTGGTTAAGTGGCAGTTATTATAAAAGAATAATTTGTTACAATATTTTTTAAATTAATAAAAATTGTAAATTTTTAAGAGTTAGTTTTTTGTAATAATAATAAATGAAAATTTTCTTTAATTTATTTTTAATATTAATTTGTTTTTGCCACGCATTATATATATACAAATTTATGATAATTTTAAACTTTTAGAACCAAACCTTAAAGTTATTCAATAAGTATTTGTACATTTAAAAACTTTAAAAATACCTCGACCATAATTTATTTATAAAATTATTATTTATAATAAAAAAAATATTAACGTTACCCTTCCTTATTTGATAGAAATTAAAAAAAAAAGATTATGTTACATAAATAATTAAATATACATCAATATATGAATCTGTATAAAAATTTTTAATAACACTTATAATAATAGTATTTTTTTTTTAAGTATTATTATTTATACGCTTCCTATTTTAAAATAAATTTAATATTTCCCAACAAACATTTTTTATTTCTCCATTAAAATTAAAAAAAAAAAAAAAAAGTTACATGATCAAACCTTTGGCGAGAACAATATCCCTCCATTATAATAGAATTAGCTGATACGAAAAGTCCATGCACATTGCTCATGTTAGAATAATGTTACCTTCTCAACCGATAGCGTCACAGAGTTATTTTATGATCCAAGTAAAATTTTACATATAACTTGTGTTTACGTGCAGTTACCTTATCAAGTCCCATTTTCAGATGGTTTGATCCGATTAGGCTTATTTTATACTTTTATAAGTTTTACTATGAAGCTTAGTTTGGTTGATCGTTTGTTGTATGTAAGATAGAAAGGACTAAAAAGATCACCAAGCACCAGTGGTCTAGTGGTAGAATAGTACCCTGCCACGGTACAGACCCGGGTTCGATTCCCGGCTGGTGCATTCTCAGGGCAATGAAGAAATGCTAATGTGACAGATGGGGTCTGTCACAATCATCTGAATTTGAAGATGATAAATTGCAGAGCTGAGCTCTAATTTTTTCTTCCATAGCAGCTTTTTTACCTTCTTAAGAAACTATTATTATTTTGCCTTTTTTTTTTCTTAATGAATATTTTACTTCTTTTAAGAAATTATTATTATTATTTTATCTTTTCTTTGTCTTTATGAATAGTCAGTTCATCAAACCTTTGGTTTGTTTGTTCAGATAACAATAGAGTAAGCTTGTCTGTTTGAAAGAAAAAGTTTTCTTTCTAGAACTAATTCAATGAACTATTTAATTTATTAGATAAACCATAATTGTCTTATAAAATTATAAAATAACATCATATCACTTATTAATCATTCTACAATTAACTCTTGACATCGAAGATGTTAATGTGAAATCGAGCAATAGACTTTTATTGCATTGCATTTATGAGTTACATATACACAAATAAGATGATAATGTTTATTACAATATCTTAGCTATTCCGTACATAAGATACACTTCGAAATTGGATGATCCTCATCAAATGCTACTTTTTAATCATTCAAAACTCAATAAATTGTTAATTCAGATTTTAATATTCAAAATTCAACCCATATAAACCATATCATAATATGTATTTAAGCATTATTTTTTTTTTTCTAAGACCGGTTAATTTTGAATCAATCATGATTTAAATGTGCAAAAGTCAAATATTAGTGTGGCAAGATCTAAAATGAACATGATGTTGATTGTAGTAGCAAGCATGTATTACAAGCATTTATGTGTATTATATAAATATTAAACCAATAGAGGACGGGGCACATTTAAAAATAATTTTCATAAAAAAATTGAAATTTTGAAATTTTAAATTAAATATTATATTTAAATTTATGTGTATTACAAGCATGTATGTAGTATGTATACGTATGTTGCACGTGATATATAAAGCATACATATGACGTGTCATTTTTCAACTTCTGTTGGTTGGCACTGAAGGCATCTTCCGCCTTTTCGCTATCGCTATGTCTTTTAGGAAACAAAAACGTGAAATAAAACAGGTTATGTCCTTAGTTTACCTTCGAACTGAAAAAGGAAAATATTCACTGCTATATATCGTCATAATTTATAATTCACATAAACTACAATCTAATCTAATAAAAGGAAAATATTGCAAATTATATATAGCAATAATTTGTAAACCTAACTAATCTCTGCTCGATTTCAAAAGCTAAAAGGGCTGATTTGCGAAAATTTACATTGGTGATCAACTCGTAGGTGTTTTTTGTTATTGAATTACTTCATCCCATTAATATGAATATATATTAGATTAATTAAGAAAAGAAAAATAATATATAATGGGTCCCGCTTTCAACTGTGCTTGAAATCCATATGACAATCGCATTTAGATAAATATATTACAGTAGGAGGGACCATTAAAAAATGAATAAATGATATCTCAAAAGAAAGCAACCAACCAAAAAGTTGGTCTTTACACGCTTCCATTTAGCCGCTCAGGTGTGGCCTAAAAGTGCATTTTACGTTGTTGTTGTCGTAGACACCTCTGTTCACTTTAAGTACCTTAAGTAGGGAACGTATATAGAATCTTGGAGTAAAATTTGCTGTTTCTAATTATTTTAATGGTATTTAGTTATTAACTATTCGATTCGAGTAGTTTTACATAAAATATTAAACGATATTTTGTTAACTTTTTATAAAATGCTACGTTAATCTCTGAAAATTAATTCAAATATTATGTTATTGAATACTATAAAAACTATTTAAAAATTTATTATTGAACATAACTATAATAGGATTTGCTTAATTTAGAATTAATTCATTAGTTAATTAATTAATCAATTATTTTCATACAATTTCTTTGCTTTTGTTAAATGGAAAATATTGAATCATGATCGTATATGTTAATTAATTATCATTTTCAAACTCTTCATCAGCCCTTATATTTTATGCATTATTTTGTTGGTAAAAGTTATAATGTTGTAACTTAATTATGGGAAAAAAATTCCCTTGCTAATTTTTTATTCCTAGCTTTAATTGAATGAAAATGTCGTGCCTCTATATATAATTGTATTATTAATAAACTTAATATTATGTTAAATTATTATTTATTATTATTATTATCGAGACCTAATATGAGGGACATATTATTACCAAATTGGAATTATTGAGACCTTGGTAGTATGCATGAATTTCATAAAGATTAAAATCAAATTTATCGTAATTAATTAATTATTGATTTTATATTAATTAAGTATATAGCTTATACGTCATCTACTTCTTAAAAACAAATCTTACAAAGGTTGGCCGCTGAATTCTTGTACTCGTAACTCTTGAGCCAACCCTCATGCATGTGTTTAGGCTACCTACTAAACAAAGACAAAACTATCACCATTGATTAATACATGACTTAGCAAGAGATTGAATAGAGATCGATTATAGATGACATGAACTTCTTTAAGTGGGCTTTATACAAAAATAATGGTGTTTTAAAAAAAAAAGTATTTACGGAAATGATACTCTCTCAAAAGTATTTATAAAAACGGTGTTTTCTCAAAAGTATTTATAGAAATGCTGTTTTGTTGACATTTTAAATGCATTTGTTACGGTTATAATATAACAAAAGCATTAAATTTTATATTTTTTAATGTTGTCCAGTAGTTTTACCGGACAAATAGTCTTTATCCTCTCTCCTTATTAAATGTTACATTATAAATGAAACAATGTCAGAATATATTCTTTCTTGCACATTTTAAAAGGTTAAAGTTAAAGGACATGTTATAATGTTGTTCTACAACGAGTGTAACAATCTATGAAGTAAAAATTTTGAGAAGCATTAATAGAACAATAAGTACTTAACAACTCCAGGGAATCTACATTAGTGATAGAACAATAAGTGCAATTTTTATATAAAGCCTCTCGGTTCTTATAATGTTGCTCCACATGATTTTATTAATTTTCTTTCTTTTTTTTTAATTCACTGGAGGTTTTTATGGGCCGAAATAACACTGCGGGCTATACAATAGGTGATAGCTCTCCCCTTGACTCAACAAATTGGTAAAAATAACTGTGGTCGAGAGGAATCAAACTCGAAACCTTTCGCTCCTCACATGCGAGAAAAGACCAATCAAACCACCGTCTCATCAACATTAATCTTTTTTTTTTTTTGTCTTGCTATCTTTAGAAAAATAAATTATTATGGACTGCGGAAAGTGAAAAAGTTAAAGCAAGAAAGAAAAATATTAGTATTATTATTCCTTTTACTTGCAAAAAAAATGATAGTAATAAATTTTAGGAGTGGTAATTAAAAGGTTTTTAAAAATTAAAAAATAAAAATAAAATATAAAATGCATGGTTTTGTATTGTGCATAAAGAAACAAAGAGATGGTCTGGGTCTTGTTTAATAAATAGATATTGAAAAAATGAAGACCTAGTAATAATATCCACAGTACAGTAAGAGTTGGTTTTACTTGCAATTAACTATTCAAACATAATTAACGTACTATACAATATAACCTCCTGAATATATATATATATTGTACATTATTTAGTCATCAAAGTTATATTTTTGCTTTTTCTATAAAATAATAGCCTACTGAGATGGGTAATTAATTCTTGAAAAAAAAAAGCAAAATAAAAAATGACTTTTACATATAAATATAAGTATTTATCTTGAAATAAGAGGATTACTTTTGCTTTTAATGCCGAGTCTAAAACAAAACAATTACACAATATAATAAGAAAAAAAATTATATTTAAACATAATAAGATATTTACTCAATCAACAAATTTAACATTATATATTAACCAAAAAAAAAAAAAAAGAAATTTAAACCTTACCAAATGCCACGAATCTTCAAACGTGTTGAGCAATATGATCTAATTTAGGATGTAAACTATAAAATATATAATTATAGTTTATTGAAGATAGTTAAAATATAAAGGAAAATGAGAAATAAAGGAGAAACAAAGACTGTAATGTAAGTAGGAAATATATACACTTTCAAACATTCACATATATGTATAGTAAATATTGTCCCACAATCACATCAAATAATTTTCTTCCCTTTAATAATTTCAACCTTTTACACAATAATATTTTCCATCCCAATAATAATACATCTCTTACATAACATTAAATTGTTCACATGCATAGTTTAAATTGCGTAAATAAAACATATTATTACACTAACAATGACACTATATGTGTTTTATTTTTATAGGTTGTACACTATACGTGTACCAATAACAACAGTTTATAGGTTGTTACATTGTAGCACTTATGAATCTGCGTCAGAATTTCAATAGTGGTGTGGCAATCTCAACTACGGATTGGTACACTGTAAGTGTAACAATTGCACCTAGTACATATAAATTTGTGCGAAAATCTCGTTAAAGGAGAGAATATATTCTGACATTATTTCACTTATAGTGTAATATTTAACAAAGAGAGAGTAAGAGAGAATATTTTGTCCGGTAAAACTATTAGACAACATAAAATAAAATAAAACTTATTGCTTTTGTTACAGTTAGTGTAACAATGCATTTGTTACACTATGACGGTACCAAATGCTTCGAAATGTCAACAAAATATTATTATTGTAAATAATTTTGAGAGAATACCATTTCCATAAATACTTTTTTTCAAAACACCATATTTGTAAAAAGCCGGATGGTCATCAACTAATATATGTAAATGAACAACACATAGTCATTTACAACTACTTAATGAACTGAAACATATATGGAAAAAATAATGTAGCCTCATAAAACCCAATTAGAATCATCAGCCAAAATCTTCGCCAATTCACATGGCCTGCAAGGAATTGCAAGTGCACCTTCATGACCAAAGCCATATTCTTCTGCTGCTTGCTCCAACAGTCTCAAGAAAGTAGGATGACTTAAATAACTTAAAGGAAGGACAAACCGTTTGGGTTCTTCATTAATATCCATAGCAATAACTGCAAAATGACCTTCTTTAACATCTTTAGGAACACTAACTTCTTCACATTCATCAATATCGTAGCCTCTTTTCCCTAATGAAAGCCTCTTTTGTAGCTTCTTTGCTGCAATTTTGAGCCCCATAATACCATTTCTCTTCTCGGTGTTGCTAGCCCTAAACGTGGCCATATTTTTTATAGGGTTTATGTTTTTTATTTTTGTCTGAGAAAATTAATTTTGTGTGCTTTTTTTGGCATGTTAGCTTGCGTATTATATAGGGCCAGGGGTAAGATTTGAGAGATGGGTATTCAATTAATAATGGAAGATTGAGAAGGAAAAAGGAAACTAAAGCAAAAGTGACAAAAAAAATAAAAAAAAAGAAAGATGGGTTTCAGTTTGGGTTTAACTGGGAGACCGGTGCATGTGCATGAGTGTCTACCGAACCATGAAACGTCTATTTTGGTGAGTCAAGTCTACCTGGGAAGTTGGTTCAGTTTTGTTGTTTTGCCCGCTTCATATTTTATTTTAATTTAAATTTTCTTCTTATCTATTTAACTGTTAATGTTTTGAAAAAGTATAGACGACGGCACACCTCACGAGATACAGTTAAAAATATTATCTATATCATTAAATACTTGTCATATTTGAAAAAGTATTATATTTCAAAATAGTTATAATATTTATGATTCGAGAAAGTAATAAACTTTCCTTTCATGTTTATCATTTGTATATAACTAACAATTATTGTTTCAATTCCTCAAAATTTGGTATTTGGGTATATTAAATTAAGGATAAATAGTCAATTTATTCAGTAATTTATTATAGCTTAGACAAATTTAATGTTTTTCTTAAGAAATATGAAATTTCAAATATGACAATTATTTTAGAACGATTTGAGTAATAAAATTAGTGTTTAAGATTTAGGAATTTAACTTAATTCAGGGTTAAGATTTTAAGAATTTAGGATTTACAATTTAGAGTTTTAAAGTTTTATAATTAAAGTTTAAGAGATTTAAGATTTAAGATTTAGGATTTATAGCATACTATTTTATAATTTAGAGTTTAGGATTTAAGATTTGGATTAAAGCATATTTGATTTAGTTGTTCATGTCAATTAATAGCTGATAGTGGTTGCTGATAGCATATAACAGTTAGCTGATAAAATATGGTATTTGGTAATAATTGATGCTAAAATGTAAAGTGACATTGGTGGTATAATTATTTTTATATATTATGATATATATAGATTTTTAAAATTTTTAAGGTGAATTATATTATTTTTTATTTTAATCTATTATATCTACTCTATCGAATTATCTACCCATACTATAGGCATTTTTAAAACTTTTTAAGGCCTGAATTATATTAACTCCTTTTTCATTTTAACTCTACTCTATATAATTAAAACAATATTCATAATTTTTTAAAATAATATTTCACTAGAGAATTTCATTATTTTTTAAATAATTATAAACAAATCGATTACCAATATTTATTAATTTTTTAAAATAATATTTACTAGAAATTTATTATTTTTAAATAATTATAAACAAAATGATTACAAATTTTAATTTTAAAAAATAATTTTATTAATATTTATTTTTACGAGGTTAATAAAGTTCAAAAATAACATAAATACAAAGTTGATTCAAAAAAAATCAAAAATATAGCTGATGTAATTAGAAAAAACTCCAAGACAAAGTTGCTTATTAAAAAGTTTGCCAAATATCTATAACTTAATGACAGCTTATTAAAGAACTTGTCAAACATTTACAACTTAATGATTCGATATTCAAAATATAGCTGATGTAATTAGCAGTTATCAACAACCAAACGATCTTTTAGTGTAGTGTAATTATTTTTAATTTTATCTCATTTATTGAGAGTCTCACTATATATACATACTGTTTTTTCCATGTTTTATTCTTACGGTTTACTATTAAACTTCTCACTAGGGTTTAATTAAGGGTGCAATCGAATTAAGTCGAGTCAGTGTATGGTTAAATTCGATCTCAATTCGGTTAGAATATTCAAGACTTAAAAATCAACTTAAACTTGATTGATACAAGCTCAATTTTAGTTTCAAATCTCTAATTCAACTCAACTAAACTCAATTATCATTAAATTTTTTATCTTTTTTGAATTTTTGGAGAAGGAGATTTGAACCTGAATCTATTGTCAGGTCATATATACATTAACCACTAGATTATACCTTGATATGCATTATCATTAAAAAATTAAATACTTAAGCATTTATAAATTAATATAAAGCTTGATGGAGCTCGGTTAAACTAAAATGAATTATTAATAAATATATAGCTTAAACTATGTATAAAAATCATATAAAATTTAAATATTATATTAGATGAGCCACTCGAGTCTAGTATTACAATAGTTGAATTCTATTTAAGAATTATTGAAAACTTGAACTTAATTAACACGAGTAAAATTTAAATACTTATTGAGCTGAGTTTAAGTAGTTTACGAGTAATTTGATTTTCTTACACCTTTGAGGATAATAGACCTAAGCTAATTTGATATATTCTTAATTTTAAGATTGATGCCATTGAAATTTAAATTTATTTAATATTCAAACTTAGTTTCAAAAATCTATTTAGACCAAACTTTAAACTCGAATCCACTCAATTCAACTTATTTGTTTTTCATATGTAAAACTTAAAATGTAATTTGTTGAAATTTCTTCATGCATCCATATGCTATACATGTTATTCCTTCCATATGTACACTTATGACTTATTATCTCTATCCTCAAATATTTGTTACATTTAAAATTTTACGTCTATTAAAAAAATCATTAAATTTGTCTAAATTACAAAACATTATTGAGTAAATCGACCATATTATTCTTAATTTAATAATTGTTAAAGAATTGAAGCAATAAATGATGTTTTTCTAATGTTACCCTTATTTACATTAGATACAGTAAATACTTTTACAAGTAAATATTGATTTTGAGATAAATAATAATTTCATCAAATTACCTTTGGTTTTATTATAATCTAAGAGAATTAATTGCTTCCTTAATTCTTGTATAAAAACTTTAAACGACTTCTATTTTGAGACAAAGGGAGTAAGTATTTTGGAACATGGTATATTTATCTATCTATATTATATATAAATGTAGAATAGAGGGAAATAATTGGATTTTCAATATCGTCCTTAATGAAATTTGGAATATCTAAAATTACATTTTATACCCTTAGTCGTAGCCAATTCGAAAATTGTATTTTATACCAACGAGCGTTTGGATGAGTGGTTCGACACTCTTCTCCATTAAGTAAGGTTGATGATTTGATCCTTACAGATAAAGCAAATATTCACTGAGAGGTGAGGTTGAGGGTTTGATCCTCACAGATAAAGCAAATATTCACTGAGAGCATTTACCATTTCTTGGGTCGACCTAGTGCGAGTAGAATTTAGTTCTAATCCAGTGGGGTCGGGATACCTGTCATTAAGACAAAAAAAAATTACATTTTATTATTTGATTGGATATAATTTCTAAAAATTATTTTTTAAATAAATACATATAGATAATAAAAAAGAAAAAAAGTATACTCTTCCAGTGGAGGGTCGGATACCTGTCATTGAAGACAAAAACAAAAATTACATTTTATTATTTGATTGGATTTTATTATTTGATTGGATATAATTTCTAAAAATTATTTTTTAAATAAATACATATAGATAATAAAAAAGAAAAAAAGTATACTCTTTCTTTTTTTTGTATGGTTGTACAGAAAATTAAGGGTTTATTTGGAGAGAATAGAAGTTTCTTTTATGTGAATTTTTTATTAATTAATTAACTTATTTATTTACTTATTTTAGATTTGCAATTTAGGAAAATAGAGAAACAAAATTAGATGCTAGCATTATTTTCTTTGTAATTTTTATTATAATCTTTTCATTGTCTATCAACATCAAACTTCATTAAATTATAGCATTTTCAACTAAAGTAGTTTGATTTTTGAAATTCAAATTGATAATTTTTTTAAATATAATTTGTTTCTTGTTATATGTTGAGTACCGAAAAAAGTTCTATTCTTAATAATAATAATTTTTTTATTTTTTATTTTCTTTTTGGTTACTAAATTAATTTGTAATTATTATTACTTTAATTTAATAAGAGATTTATATTTCCCTTGTAATAAATAGATGGCCTTTTAATGATTAAATATTTTTAATTTTCTTAATATTTTTTCTATTATATTCTATGTATGTTTGACTTAAAAGAAAATAATGCTTATAAAACTGAAAAAAAAAACTAAAATTATATATTTCTTATACTACATTTCCTATTTTGGGTCACTCTTTTGACGGTCTTCCAAAGAATTTTTGTGTATAAAAAACTAAAATTATATATTTCTATTTTGGGTCACTTTTTGAGGTTTCAAGAATTTGTGTGTATGTGCATATATTCCTTTTCGTAATGCACTAGGTAAGTAATACTGTCATTATAGTCAAAATAATTATCATATCAATTCAGATCATCTGCTCATTTTTTTTCTTTATCCAGCAGTAAAAAGATTTTTTTTTATTTTTTATTATAGTTGTATATAGATATTGATTTAGAGTTGAAGACAAGAGGTTGGAGATTGAGTGATGATTTGATTTTCTTTTTTTTTTTGGGCACTTATTAAGATTTTAAGAATCTGCATTTATAAATTAGGGATTGAAGATTAAGTTTATAGATTGGGTTGAATTTTATTTTAAGATCACTTCATTAAAAAAAAAAAAGAATTAAGTACATAAACAGTAACATTACAAGTAGTTTGTACGATAAAATCTAATATAAATTAAGTAATTGTATTTATTTTAATAAAATAAAAACTTATATTTTAATAGTATAGGTAAAAGAATTGAAAGAGTATAAATATATAACGAGCATAGCCGTAACGAAGATAATAAAAATGATTTTTTTGAAAGAGGATAATAAAAATGATTATTTGTGTTAAATGTGACAAGTATTTAGGTTTTTGAGCTAATAATAAAAACGCAATATATTTGGAAATAGCAGTTTGGCTAACTGCAGCAATTTGCATTTAATGCACGTGATCAATGAAACAAATGTTTCTTTCTTTTTTTTTTTTTTTTTTTTTTTTTTTTTTTTTTTTTTTTTTTTTTTTAATTTTCCATCCGACTGGATGAAGCAAAATTTCATCTGTCATTGCATAAGCAGACAAATACATCAATTCCAAAAGTCTGACTTGGTCTAATTTTCTTAAACAATTATCTGTTTTATTTTATTTTTAATTTTATAT